ATGGAGATGGTCTAACGCGTGGCAGTACCCTTTACTCTTATGAACATTGGCTGGTTTTAGAGCAGTTTTCAGCTGATTGAGGAGTTATGTAATTGCACCAATTACATCCAATTACATAATTAGAGTAAATAAGTAATAATATAATTAGGGGCTGTAATTACGTAGTTATGACAGGTAGCACTAATGCTGATAAAATCCATTATGAAACTTGCTAAGAACTATGGACAGGGCATGTGAGAACAAAACTTTTAGGGCTTCGTTTGCTAAAGTCTTTCATTCTTCCAATGGGCAAAATAATTAATTTAATTACTATGCCAATAGCCTTTTATTTTTGCAAATGAATGGATGCACAAATCATAGGCTAATTCATATCTCTGTTTTGCTGCTAAAAATTCAGTAACTAATCATCTACATTTTTTTACTTCCATTTATCTGTTTGCAGCTACCAAAGCTTAGGTGAAATCTGCGTGTACAAATTACACCTCGGAAAAGAGAAGTCTAAAAATTTGGACCTTAACCTTCACTGTTCTAGTTATCGCATTAAACTGTCTCCTCTGACAAATGGACACAAGGAACATTTAAAGATTGTTGTATTGATGTAATACAAGTTATGTGCATCTCTCTGGGTTTACTAGGGATGGTATTTCTGGTCAAATGGGTTAGATAAGAAGTTTTCTTCTGCAGGAATGAAAATTCAATAGGAAAATCATTCATGCAGGTTCTCAGTGCAAATGCAAGGCATGTAGCCAGTTTTTCAAAGTTTCTGACTTTTTGGATATTGTATAATATCTGTCTGACTTCATAAAAGAGGCCTGGATAACAAACAAATAATAAAACTTACTGCCCTGATTTAATATTCATTAATATTTCACCCAATAACTGATGTAAGATAGCATGCAAGAAGAATGGGCATCACTGGAAGATCTGAAGTGCTTTATTCCCACCAACATCTCCATAAAGTAACTGAAAAGCTAGAGGTGTACAAACTGTGTGGTGTTTTACAATACATTTTATGCTTGATGCTTTTTTCTAAAAAGAAAAAAAAAAAACCAAAAAAATAATACCTTGCTTTATGAAAGCTGGATAGCTACCGATTCCTTCTGTCACTGCTCAGAGCAGTATGCTAAGTCCTGAAGCAAATACAGAGCTGCTGGGAAAATCAAAATCACAGGGAACATTAGGAGTCTAGAGGAAGAAAGCAAAAGAAGTCCTCTGCCCCAAGGTCTCTCGAGGCCAGACACATGCAAGATAACGGGAATGCCTTGAAACAAGCCACCCCTGGAACAGAAACACAAATCGACTTGGAAACCTGCAAAAATATTGCCTTTGAGTGAGGGGTATGTACAACATCACCTGCAAGTTTCTTTCCCCCTCTTGAACTGGAAAACTGGGAAAGTGAAGTTAAAAGCATAAATAATTCCCATCCCTTTTGGCACCCAGCCTTTCAAATAATATTCCAAAACAAGAAAACCATAGGATTCCCATTTTTTTCCAGTTGTGCTATCAGCAAGCCTTCAAACCAGATGCTTCACTGTTTGCTGGACAAACGATACATAAAAAAGACTGACAGTCATAATATAGACAGTCATATTTTTGGGTCCTGATGGGTCTGAGAAAAGAGACTACCAGAAATTGTAGATGTTTCCCCAGTGCTTGGTCAATACCGATAACCACTCCAATGTTACTTTTTACAATACTTTGCAAGGCAGTAGTAGACAAGTACAAATAATAATTGGTTCCTAACTACAGTTTTAGAGGTAACGATGATGATACTTGGAGGTAAACTCTACTTTCTATTAAAGAAGTTACTGCAGCACACTCCAAAATTTTGACCTATGTGTATCTAAGGATGGATCTGAGCCCTGAAGATTAGATTTGGGTAGAAATTCTCTCGAAGTAATCTGGCTGTGAAAACACAGAATTTGGGTTTGATCCATTAAAGCTACAGAAGCAGCCAGAAAAGGCATACCTAATCATAACAAAAAATAGTAGAGCTAACAGAGCTTTTCCAGAAGCATGATTCATGGAGTTTTTCCAGCCATATTCTGTATCACCTGAAATATAAAAATCTCATTCCACCTTGTCCTCTTCAAAGAAATCAAGAGGCTGCCCTGTTCTTCCACCCACCTCATTTTTATAAATATTTGTTGCATTCCCATACACCCCCAGTGAGCCTCATTCAGCAATGAGTCAGTTCCAGTGGCAAGCCCCAGTTCCCTTGTGAAAGGTTAATTTGAAGTCTGCCTCTCTTGTGCCAGATCCCAACCAGAACGTGGTCTCTTACAGGGACTTGGGCACCTCTCCCGCATCACGAGGACGGTCGCTCAGCTTTCCGTCCATTGCAAAATCTGAATCGGCTTCTCACTCTGCCTTCGGGACAAAAACCATACCTCAGGCTTAATTTCTGCATGGAACGTAGCACATCTCACATGCTACGTTCATTACTATCACGCTGCGTTTGAAGGACACCAAACACGTACGCTACATCAGGTCATACGGCTGACAGCTGCAAAACTACATGCGAGTGTTTTCCTTTTGACTCTTCTTTTGGTCATAAGCAAGCTGTATCTCTAAATCTCTTCTTCCAGTTGAATATCATACTTCCAGAATACTCTACTCTTCCAGTCAGATTATTTTCTTTCATTTCTTAATATTCCTTGCACCATGTGGTACACAGTAATCTCTCTGGCTCTAAGAGAAAGAGTCCTTTTCTGTTCATTTAAGCAGTTCCAATTGCTCCTGCTACGCAGCACTAGTATTTCTGCAGCACACCTTCCCTAGATTTTGTACTGGGGAATTTCAACTACACAAAGATACAATTACTAATCCCACGCCAGCCACTTATAGTTTGTTCAAACATTTGTTTCTTCCCCCCCCCCCCCCCCCCCTTTTTTTTTTTGCCATTCCATTCTTACTTCTATTCCATGTAAGCTTTACACTTCTAGGTCCATATGTACCTCTCCCATCATCCAGAACAACCATTAACTTTACATATACCAATGGAAAAATCGAGCCTTCCTTCAGAGGGCTTAATACTCCCAAAATTGGGATTACTAACTAACCACTTAAACCACCAACATTCTGCCACAGAGGAACAGGGGCTTTGAGAAATCAGTTCAGTGCTTGAGGTCACATGTGTTTTGGTGCTTTTCTGTTAATATTTTAGATACTCAAACAGGAGTTCCCACCATTAATGCAAACGTAAAATACATTAGTGAATTACATCAAAGTCAAACCACTGCTGCCACAGGATGAATAGACTTACTATGAATATTAATGCATCCCTTGGAATTAAACATGAATACTTAACATACATGCAAAGTTTAAAATCATACAAACATCGTAAGGAGAGGAAGAGGAGTGGAGAAGGAACAGACGAATAAGACAAGCCCTAGCGTCTGGAAACGTTATTGATTCCACAAATTAAAGTGCATTTCTGAGATAAGCTAAAATATTTTCATGTGTATGATGACAACGTGCCACTATGAATAATTTCTTGTAATGGAACAGAGGATACAAGCATCTGTTTTAGTTTTCCTATCTCGCCCATCATACTGCAGAAGTACAGACCCATTACTGCTTGACAGTATAAACGCCCTGAGCCGGGCAACGAGATTGACGGTTCCAAATTTCCATGGACGTAGGCTGTTCCTCTGTACCGGAGCACTGCACTCCCATCGCCTGCCACACCACCTTCCCATGTCAGGGCAACAACACTTGGAAAAGCTCCAATTCATCGCAGCATTCAAGCACACACCCCTGTCTAAACATGAGCCGTTCCACTAATGTGAGTTCTTCAAGGTAAAGCTCTGCGTAAGCCTGTGCAGTGGGTGGGAGTCGTCTCCTCTAGCTTGAGCCAGCTCCCAATTAGGCATCTTGTCTAAACTAATCATTTAGGCTCTCAATGGAGTGAGAAAAGCAATGCCAGGGTGAGTCACCTCAGCTATCCTAGGCACCTGCCTTAAGGCAGGATAAATAACCCAGCTTTCTGCACTGACAGGGCAGGGAGCTGGGATCGATTTAAACCAGGTGCCTGACTTGAAGACAGCTGAAGTTAAAGGAGAAGAATCTGCCCCTTAGCTAAAGTGAGGACTAAAAGGGCACCCAGCACTTCACTAGTGAGGCTGGGTAGTATGTATAATCAAAGGCTCGATGAAGGATAACAGAGCAGATACTCTCAATACGAAATGCGGCTCCAGAAATGCATAAACAGCAAAGCCTGGTGCGCATTTGGTTACACCCTCCTCTGGGATTCAGACATACGCCAGCTCTGCAACCACAGACCCTGGCACAGGCCCTGAGCAGTGCAATACCTGCCAGGAAGTCCATGGGAAGAAAATGCTGCACCAGAATATCCCAACAGGTAGGAAGACTTCCTCAAAAATGAAGCCCCAAGCCACGCAGCCTTGATAATCCATCCCTCTCTCTCACCAGAAGGAACCCTCTTTGGCAGCAGGCTGGAAATGAAATGTAATCGACTATCTCTCTGCCCCAGTGTCATCAAATTTCTCTCTCTGAATCCAAGTCATACTCTCACTGCTTCACGAGGCAGTTTCTGTAGCTCTTCAAATCCCTGCAGCCTCTTGGTCTTTTCAATCGCTTGTTCAGAGCAGTCGTAGGAGAAAAGCACTAGCCCTCGACGCTGACCCTGCGTTTCACTGTTCAGCAGACAGCAGCCCAGAGATACTGGACAAAGCTGGAGCAGCAGCAGATGTTATGATGCATGCTCTTCTGCCCCTGCTTTGGCTAATGAGGCAGCAGAACCCACAGAGCATGAGAGCACGAACGCCAAACCGGAGACTGTGGCCTGTGCCTTCATCTTTTTCATTACGTTTAAGACTGGGCTTTGCTGCAGACTGTCTAAGACACACGAAAAGATCCTTAAAAATACAGATCGATGCCTCCTATTGTTCAGAGAGAGGGAAAAAGAAAGATATTCTCTGCTCTAGCTGCAAGGAGCATCTCTCAGTTGCATAAAGCACGTGCCCAAATTGACTTACCACAATCATTTGCGCCACGTAGCTCTCCGGGCCAGTGTATTCAGTTGGATCTTTGACTTTGACAAGAACTATAAAGTACAAATAATGCCACATGTTGTGTTCTGACTTTATATGCTCCTCAAACGAAACGGTCTTGTTATCAAATTTGTCTCTCTCCAGTCCTGCAAAAAGACATGAATGTAATGCAAAAAAATAAACTTCAACATAAAAATACCCAGATCTGTTAAGTATGTTAGAGAAAGGAACCTAACTTAATTTAAAGGATCATAAATTTGAAGGATCTTAATTTAAAAGCTGTAACTGCATACAGTACTGCCAGGCAAGAAATACCAGGCCAGAAGGCATTCCTGACCGC